TGTTTGAATAAAACTAAAGAATCTTAAAATCAAGCAGAAAAGATAAGGCAAGATTCACCTGGCCCCAACCCTGCCAGCCTTTAAGAAGGCTCTGAAGACCTGGTTCTTCTTGTTGGCACTGAGCCAGGATGATATATAAGCTCATTGTAATATGAGGTCTGTGTTTTGTCCCTGGTGAAGTACATTTTATTATTTTATTGTCTTTTTTTCAGACTGTGATCCTTTAATCCTTGTTAGTGCTCAGAGTCATTAACTGAGTGGGCTACCATATAAACTGAACAAATGAATAAGATTTAACCCATTGTAACTATCCCTTTTAAACTGTTAGCTGTCTTGAGTACTATATGGATAGAAATTTGAAACGTAACAATAAATAATATTTAAATCTTGGGTTTTGCAATAGGGCAAGGCAAGCATACAATGCGCTGTTGCTTCTTCTCTCTAGCTAACATTAGATGTAATGCTGTCATAGTTATAATTGTGCAATGAAATATTTTATGACTGGAAGATAGCATGTTTCTATTTAAAAGATATATCCATCATATGCTCCATAATAAATAAATAGAGCAGGCTTCTTTCTTTCTTCCTTACAGATCCAGATCCAGTAGCAATAATGTTTATCCTCCTAACAGTATTGGCATTCTTTTCGTTCTGCTGTTGTATGATTGTTTGTATTTATCAACGGATCAAATATTCCTTTTTCCCTTCATATTCTTTGCCACAGCATTTCATACAGGTTTGCATTTTGCATATCTTCTCCATATATATATCTGTATATATATATATACATGTACACACATATACACATATTAAATATTGGTATAATTTACCGAACAGTATGTGATGTACTATATATTGAAGCGAAATGAGCCATGAATGTTGTTCTGAAGTGTCGCAGCTAATAAACCTTGAGTGAACAACTCTGCTTTCCATGGTCAAAGATGTGGACATAACCTAATAAAACTCTCAGTGGTTTTGCTTAATTTAAATCTACTTAAGCTGTAGTGCTGATAATTTTTGGTCCTGTAGTTTAGCACAGCACTCTTAAGGCAGAATAACCTAATATATTACACAGTGACATTTGCATAACATACTAAGGTAAGAGTGAGCAATGTTTGAGGTTCACGAGGTGCACTTCAGCTTCCTGACCTTATAGAGCAGTGTTTCTCAAACTTGGCAACTTTAAGATGTGTGGACTTCTACTCCCAGAATTCCCCAGCCAGACATGCTTTTTAAGAATTTAGCCATGCTGGAAGGGGATTTCTGGGAGTAGAAGTCCAACATAACTTAAAGTTGCCAAGTTTAAGAAACACTGTTCCAGAGGACTACAGAATGCATCCAGGAACACTGTGTTATTACTAGAAGGGATGTAGCTGAATTTTTTGGCTAGTGAGAGACCTCCTAGAGGCAGCTAAAATGGCAGGTATTAATTTATCTTTTTTGAAGTGAAAATCTTGCTCTATTTTCATGTTGTCAGGCAAGATCTCACAAGATCTTCATTTCAGAGTGTTCACAAGATTTGGGGAAGGTTATACCTTATAAGATTGTGCAGGAGTTTTTGTGACCTGAAAAGATTGCTAATTCTTGCCATAGTAAATGGAAAGTGTGCTTGCTTTTCCTTCCACTGAGAAGTACAGCTTAAAACAGTGAAGCATAGACTTCCTGTTTTAAATGATAACTCCATGCATAAAGTCATCCATTAGAGTAGCCTTTCTCAGCTGGGGTTCTGAGTGGTCACCAGGGGTTCCATGAGAGATCATGATTAAAAAAAAATTAACATTGTTTTTTAACTTCACCCACTGCCAATGCTAGCACTTTCAGTGGTGGGAAATTTTATGTACCATGTCTCAGCTGCCAGCCTCCCACTTTGCTGTCATTGTAAATGTAAAGCGTGGATTGTATAGGTTAGAAGTGAATTGTATTGCAAAGTTTTTGCAATTTTTTGCAATTTTTATGCAGGGGCTCCTTGAGATCTGAAAATTATTTCAAGGGTTCCTCCAGGGTAAAAAGGTTGTGAAAAGCTGCATTAGAGGCTCAGTGAGAGAGCAGAACTTAAAAGGATTGCCCTGAGGATTGTCCTTTTTCTGTGGATGATTAACTATCATTCATTTGCCTTGCTTGGCAAGATTCATGACGATGCAGTTTGAGAATTTTTGCAAGTGTGCTGACATATGGAAAAAGAGGCTTGTGCAATCTCTGATATATGATTTTGAAATATATGGTTTTTAAAAAAAAAAAAGAAATAAAAATTATTGGATTCTAACTGGCTGAATCCTCTGAGATGAGACTTGGGGGATTTGTATATTCTGAGTTAACATGTCTCTCAAAAGAAGGTTTCGGTAATCTATTTCTTTTTCTTCATCCATAGTTTTTAGGCCAACCTTCCTACAGTTCACAATTTCTTGCATCCCAGCTACAAGGAGAGGATCATAACTATGACACACTTATTGTTCTTTCGGAGGAGTCAGAACAGTGCAACAGTGAACTGAAAAATAAAATGAGCAACATAAAACTGGAGCGGTAAGGATCTGAAGAAGATACCTTTAGACCTAAATAAATTTCAAATTGTACAGCTTTGCTTCATGCTTGAAGCTTGGAAATAATACACTGCACTTTGAGGAACTTACTGGAACTTACAAAATGGCACTTAACACTTTGCACATTATTAAGTCATTAATGGTGTTTTTTACTTGATAAAAACTTTTATATGATTTTCTATTTTGGAAGTTTATTTATTTATACTAAAGCCTTAATTTTAGAATAAAAGTAGTCATTACTAAGCAAGTTCAACTTATGAAAATAGCATAACATTTAAAATATTCTGAACATACTTTATTCAGAATAGTTTGCTTTATTATTTTGAGGAGCATTTTGACAAAAATAAAAATATTCTTCTAGACTTTCATTTGCTTTTTTTTTTTTAATTTATCTAATTTCAAGGCTGCCTGACTCTTCAACAACTCTGGGCAGCTTACAGAAAAAAGGGAGAAGAGAAGAGAAAGATAAATAGATAGATCAATCATGAGAGTCTACAACTATGTTATCCCAAGGCCTGGGAGAATAACCAGGTTTCCTGAAAGTCATATGAAAGCCTCATGAATCTCTTGATCTAGTTTTATTTCAATAGAACATATATTTGGGATCATCGGACTTTGCAGGGTCACATATTCTTATGTAGGTAAAGGTATTTGTCCACGTAACACAAAATTTGTCTATATATATTGTTTGCTGGATTAGGAACAATCAGTGTAAATGAGATACAGCTAGTGGAGATGTGATATCTATACCTGTATGTACAACTAGTTACATCTAAATGCTTTCTAAAACAGTTGGATGGCAGTTTTTAATAACACAATCTATTTACAAAATAGATCTACTGTTGATCTACTTCTATTTACAAATCCCCATGCTTCCATTTTCAATTAAATAATAACAACAAACAACCATTATGTTGTGCCCAAGGTTTTTAAAACTAGTAAGAAACTAACAGGAATATTGGTTGCATCCAGTGATTACTATTTCCTCCCAGTTCCTGAACTGATGTTGTCTGCTATTTCTGCTGAATACTGAAGGTCCAGCTCCAAGAATGGACATTTCATCCTGCAGAAATTCAAACAACAACTCATTGTTGAAAGCCAACAGGCATTTGGGAAATATAAATGGTGGGTGACTACTACTGAGTGTTCTTTGAAGCCACCTAAAAAATACATTTTGTATGACAAAGTATTACAGAGAACAACCTGCAGGCTACAGGAGGTGATGAAAAATAGAAAGAGTTTTACCTATGTTGCATGTATGTTTTATTTATGCATCCATCCATACTTGTTTGTCTTGTTTGTTTTAGAACTCAAGCCTGACCTTTACATTGTGCTTCTTGGCAAGTTTTTTTTCCCTTGCATTAGTTTGTCTTCTGAGAAAAAAGTACTTTGTGACTTCTTATATCCAGCATAACATCTATTTTGTAAATGGACAATATTTCCATGGCAACCAGAATACCAACAATAGTTTCAAAAGGCTAAGCATGCCCATTGATTAAAAATATTGCGGCACCTTGGATTATAGGTAGTCCTAGGCTTACAATGGCAACTGGTACCAGAATTCTATTGCTAAGCAACTGTGAAGGAATGGTTGGATGAAGGCTCCGCTCGAGGAGATAAGCATTCCCTTAGCCCTCAACAGGAGCGTGGGAAGTTTAAGAAGATGAGACTGGCACCACCCTAAGGAATTCACGGTGTTTTGGCTTGCTGGCTTGGGAAGTTTAGATTCAGTCTGGAGAGATTGATGTCAGGTTCAGCCCAAAGAACTCCCCGAGACAGCGCAAATACAGTTCTGTTGCGTTTATTAGCTTCCACCTCAAGACAGAATCTCTCCAGACTGAATCTAACTTCCCAAGCCAGCAAGCCACAACACCGTGAATTCCTTAGGGTGGTGCCAGTCTCATCATCTTAAACTTCCCACGCTCCTGTTGAGGGCTAAGAGAATGCTTATCTCCTTGAGTGCGGCCTTCATCCAACCATTCCTTCACAGTGACACAGTTGTAAAGTGTGATGTCACATGACTGCATCGCTTAGCAAAGGCAATTCTGGCAGCCCCAGTTGCTGTCATTAAACAAGGACTGCACAGGTTGTTAAGTGAGGACCTCATGTGACTGCGACTTCTGACTTCCTGCCGCCTTCCCCATTGACTTTGCTTGTGGGAAGCTGGCAGGGAAAGTTGGAAAACAGGTGTGACTTCAGCTCACTGCAATGTCACAATGATGAGCCAGGTACTAAGCATGTGACCGTGGGGATGCTGTGACAGCTAGAACTATGAAGACTCATAAGTACCATTTGTTCAGGCCCATAACTTTGAACAGTTGCTGAACAAATGGTCATAACCCAAGGACTATCTGTACTTAACTCACATGGAAATTTGCAAGTACAGCTCCCACGCACTTAGAGGAAGAGGAAATTGAGTTACATTACCCAGGTATTCAGTTAAAATGAAAATCCCAAGACTTCCCTGAGCTCTGCCTCCCTCTGATTTGAGGCAGTCATATTAAAACAGATATAAACATTTTTAATATCAAATTTAATATCAAGAATCCAGGTCTCTTGCAGCATCAGAATGTCAAACTCTTATAGAAAATTGTGGAAATCCCAGTCTGTAGATTTTCTAATCCTGCAGTTTTCCAAGAAGGTATTTTCAGGGGGCATCCCGAAATAATTGTCAATGAATTTGGGGAGGGGGGCAGGTACAGTGATATTTACACAGTATTGAATAGAGATTATTAACACTGTAATGTTTAGATAACTTAAACCTTTAAAGATAAAAATACAAAAGTTTATATCAATATTAACTAAGATTTCTAAAATGCCAGTGTTGATAAATATGAGGTTTTTAAATTTTACAGTTAAATGCAGCAATAATAAACAACTACAAATCACATCAAAATATTTGTTATACAATACTTGTTTATTTATTTAAAACACTTATATAGCCACCCATCTTAAAGCAACTCCGGGTAGCTTACCAAT